TACAGACATCTCCACGGCTTGACAACTTGATCTACGCCTACGGTAAAAAACTGAACAAGAAAAAACCTAAATTAACAACACATTCGGACAAATGGAAACTGTAAAACCTATACTTACATGTTCTGTGCAGTTTCGACAAGAAACGTACAAAACTGTAGCAAAAAACAACACTGTGAAAGCAATCCGCCCGACACGAAACTCTTTCAAAGACAGACCATGTGCGACTGAGTCACATGATTCGACGCAGTCCGACCAGCTGTGCACAGTTCGACCCTAAATGAGTGTCAGCTTATAACAGACCTAGATCAATTTCAGTTTATCAGGTTCGGCCGCTAGTCGGCCTCAACAAATTTAACGCTGGGGCAACACTGTAAATTATGGACTAGCATCTCATCCAGAGGGAGTAAGGTTGCTTCATACTAAAGTAACTACCTCAAGCTCCAGACCAGTGGTATTGGACATTTCGCCTGACATGGGCATTTTCAAATAGTTATAATTACCTTGTTACAGTATTTGTATAGTACTTTAATTACACTTAACTTATGGTATGTTTATTTCTTTAGCTGCTACATTCTTTTGCTCTTATGAACTGACCAAAAATTTACTCAAACCACGCACATCGTCCACAATGTTTCCATTTGTCCACATGTTTGCTGCAACTGTTGGTGAAGTAGTAAGTTTTTTCCTTGATATTTTCTTCTGCAACTAGATCAATGACACAGGCATTTTTAAGAACTTACTTCATTTCTGTTGTTAAATGTTAAATTTTCCCTCTTAGGATATAGAGTTTGACCAAACCAGTTATTTGTGTAGCATCATAAGCAAAAGGGCTACAGTGCATGCTTGGTACGTTGATTGCTTATAATATTTGATGCAACAGAAAAGAATGTATTACTTGTGTTTGTCAGGTTTCACTAGCTGTGAGAAATCCTTTTGAGGTGGTGAAACAGCGAGCGCAAGCATACACCCACATGAACAGCCTGCAAGCACTGAGGTACACCCTTGTTCAGGAGGTACTTAACAGTTATACACTAGAACTAGCAAAATCTATAGTTCCAGAAAATATCGATACCTCCCCCATGGAAGGGATTTTTTCTAACCCCCACCCCTCTGGAAATTCCAATGAGGCCTTATACATTTCTTTAAATGTTTTGGTCTTACAGACCCTCCTCCACCCACCCCAGGAAATTTTAAGCCTTTCTGTCTGGGGAGTATCTATAGATATTTTCTGGAACGGCACATTATAAGTGGGCTAATCCAGACTAACCAGTTGAGTAACGATAATTGTTCAAAGCAAAATCTTTTTTCTCAGATATGGCTTGGGAGTATGGGATAGTGAGCAAGGGGTCAGTTTCAGGTCAAGGTTCATAGTTCAGTTTGTTTGTTGCCATCTGCTTTTGACTTACTGTCCTCACCTACCCACCCTTCAAGTGTTCTTTAAAGTCATCTGAAGTTTCAAATATATGATATTTCATATATTCACTTTTATTGTTTACCATCTACGGGTGTATTACGAACTGACAATGTGATCAGCTCCCAATGTGCTTGATAACTCAGTTGGTAGGTTGGTAGAGCACTGCACTGGTATCACAGATGTCATGGGGTCAAATCAAGCTTTAATTTTACAACTTCCTAAGTTGTGTATAACTGTGATGATCAATCATGCATGTCTTCAAGTTGTGTGTGAGATCAAGTGACATTTGATAAAATAAATGGTGAATTTATTAATAGCAAATATTAAAATGTAGCAAATAAGTGGATCCCTATATTTGAAATAACCAACCCTCACCCAACTGGACACTAGAATGAATTGTTGTTGTGTGCATGAATAAAACAGCAAATTTGTATGATTGTATTCTTTCTTGCTGAATTTTATTTGTTCATTTTGTAGGGTGTTCAAGGTTTGTACAGGGGCTACTGGAACACGCTACTGAGAGAAGTACCTTACTGTTAACCTGTTGGCACACCTCTTGCTTTTTCTGCTGTACATATTAGAGAGAATTACAAGCATTAATTAGTACTGTGTAGTAAATTAATATAAATATTAATTATATGTACTATTTTAATTTGTTTTAATGTCAGATACCATTTGCATTACTGCAGTATCCACTGTGGGAATTGTTTAAGGTAACAGCCATGACATTTGATCACTGACTGACTATTGTATGTAATGACTGTATCCTGTAAACTGATATGAAGTTCATTCCTAGATGCTCATTGTGTAAACATTTATTTTGAATCACAGTATTCAATTAGTTTAGCTTCAACTTTTTTGACCACTTTTGTGGAGAAAAAAATCATTATTAAACATTCTTACCTTGAAAGTGTTTTGGAATTATTTCACAAGTGTTGTCATAGTGTAAGACATTAAATGAAAACAAGTAAGCTGCATGAATTCTATTGGGTGACTGAGAGTGTAATTTTGATGTATGATTTTCATTTTTTATAGAGTGTATGGTCATGGGAACAAGGCCACCCTGTTTGGGCGTGGCAATCAAGTATTTGCGGAGCAGTATCAGGTAAGTTCCACCATCAAATTATCACCTGACCATCATCATCATCGTCATCGTCTTCGTCATTGTCATCATCATCATCATCATCATCATCATCAAAATCATCAAGCTTCAGCTATGATGTACTAGCATGAAAGTCATTCTCACTAGCCCCCCAAAAGTTCATCTCCTACTAACAGAGTTCCTCTGAAGTTTAAATTTCCTCTATCAATGGTTTTCCTATGAAACCTCACTTTCCCATAAGTTATGGACATCTAATTCACTACCCCAACTGAAAAAACTGCTAGCCACTGGCTTTAGGCCAGGACTGTCTTTGTACACTGACAATGAGCCGGGAACATGCTTGAGCAACTGTACCTAAGAAATTGAAGGTCAGCGCATCTTGTAACACACGTCATGTTCTCCTTAACATGCAGGTGTGCCTTTTAGACTTAATAATATTCCGTCATTGTGGTTTCAGGTGGATTTGCCGCTGCTGTGACAACTCCTTTAGATGTTGCTAAAACCAGAGTCATGCTTGCACCGGTATTGACATATTAATCTAATTGAAAAAAAAAAATGTTTATGCACTATTAAAACATTCCCAGTACCACAAGCCTGAAGTGCACGTGAAGGGATGAAGATCTACAGGTCCCCATCTGTGCAGATATTGCACTTTGCACGCATACATATGATGCTGGGTTTTACCCAGTGATTTAGAGATGTTTAGAGGATGACACAAACGAAAGGAAAGAAATTAGTAATAAAAATGTAGCCAAAAACTCGTGAATTCTTTGTAATAGAAAGTCTTCAACTTTACCCTTTACCCTTGCTTCGATTTTTCCATCTTTAGGTGTTTTTTTAAATGTTCTCTAGAAGACCTTAAACTTTTTACATTTGTAGCAAATGCGAAGCGACTCGCAGCCATGTACATGTATGGTACAGTAAATGAATGGCAGACAACTAAAAACAAATACTTGGCATTTGCCTCCATGAGGGAAACAGATATGATGCTTACAGCTGTAGTTAATGACTCTAGAAGAATTACGGAGATCACAAATATCATTTGTTGTTGCTTTTTCAACAGAAAGGATCCTTGTACACTCAGTCAAGTGTTATCCAAGTAATAATGATAATTAAAGCTCAGGAGGGCATAGCAGGGTAAGAGAATTCATAGATGAAATACCGAACAACGTTAATCGTACATTTTATGATCTATCTTTACCTAATTAGGTCGATCTAAGATATCTAGACATACCGACCCTTCACATATCTTGATTCAATAATTGACTGACTGACTGTCTGATTGACTGACTGACTGACTGTCTGATTGCTATATTGACTGACTGACCGACGGACCGACTATCTGATTGCTATTTTGATTAATACTGACTGACCGACTGACTGTCTGATTGCTATTTTGATGAACTGACTGACTGACTGACTGACTGTCTGATTGCTATTTTGACTGACTGACTGACTGTCTGATTGCTATTTGATTGACTGACCGAACGACCAAACGACTGACTGTCTGATTATTATCTGACTGATTGACTGACTGACCGAACGACTGACTTTCTGATTGCTATTTTGATTGACTGACTGTCTGTTTGATTGCTATTTTGATTGACTGATTCATTGATTGATTGATTGGCTTTTCATCTTTACAGTTTGTTTTCAGGAGTGACCATGAGGACAGTGTGGATTTCTCTGGGAGGTGCAGTTTTTTTTGGATTTTATGAAAAAGCTAAAAATGTCCTACAAGATAAGCTAGGGCATTGACTGCTTATTTTTTTACGTTTCTCCGATGTAGTATTACACAGTGAATAAAATTGTTGATTGGTTAATAAATACATGACGCTGCTTGTCGTTATATTATTTCCCTTGTAATACTTAGTCTAAATAATGAAAGCCCGATGTTTTACTTGTTGACTGTTACGAGTTACTAAAATGAACGTGCGCATGTGTAGGTACAAAACTTCGTAACGTGCCAGTCGACATGTGACTTTGTCGCGTGCCCAGCGCTTGCGATGTGTTGCGTTAACTTTGATCACATGAAGATAAAATTTGCACGAGAGCTGACGCACTGGTATGCGACCCTACGTTAGTTGTTATTTGTTTTGTGATTTCAAGCTGTGGAAACATTGCGATCGCGTCATTTCACACGGGTAGCAAGCCGGAGCAATTCCAAATAACGGGAAAAGGACCAGTATAGTACAATGTCTGTGAATTTAATCAACACTGAGAGTAATGAAACAGACTTGTTTCACTGGACAATACTTCAGTTGCCCTCTTTTATTTTACATTAAACTCTTGTTTTCCAACGACTAACAAGTTTGGGGTGTATGTACAAAAGCCACATCTTTGGAAAATACGTATTTATCACTTCTCTTTACACTCTGTAATGTTTTAATCTTACGAGCGAGCCAGGAGCTAATATTTGGTCTTGCACAAAATTGCAAGGAAAGGCTGATGGTTTACCTTTATTCTATTGGCAAAGTCGTTCCTCCCTTTGAAACTTCTTCGATTTCTTTGAAACCTTTCACACCGCTTTGTATAAATAAAACACTCCCGTGGAAACTGACTTGAGTAAAGCACGTTCAATGTCTATGTTGGAATTTTTTTGCGTTGACTATCGTTTGCGAAACAATGTTTATACTCAAACTGGTATTCAAAGCCTGTTTTGTCTCGGAAAGACTGTCTCAAGTGTTGGTAGGAGGCTCTGAATGAATACAACGAGATTCTTGCGTTTAATATTCCACTAAGTTGGAAGCCTGTCTTAAACATGCAATCGAACTCTGACCATCCGATTTGCATTATTTTTATTACAAATATATTAGCTTTCCTAGTGTACGCAGTGGTGAATCCAGGCCGGAATCCAGAGGCACTCACGAAGGGGGGGAGGGGGAGAGAGGTGAAGACGTGCCCTAGGGGGGAGTGAAGGTGGCCCATGGTATCAGTTGGAGGGAGGCACCAGATTATCTGCCACTATACACTAATTTCTACTCTTTGGCCGGTTGCCATGTTCTTTATCACGATTTGAATCTCTTGTACTGCTCCGTGAATTCAATTCTCCCCTTGAACGGCTGCCCTGCTGTCTACTCCCATTGAAATCTACACTATTGACACTCTGTCGACTGTTAGCTCGGGCGGTATCATTCTGATCATCCGGAGTGACCGAGCTTCGGTGCGAACCTTGCCTGCTCTCACTTCTCGTGTCAACATTGCCGTCAAGTATTGCTAACGCTGGAGGTTTTTCCTCCTCGTGTATCATTTCGTCGCCAGGTCTGATGGAAGAGAGCGCTGACATTACACTTTCCGATACTGTTGTGCTCCTTGATGTGGTTCTTGAGCTGACGTCGATAAGCCTCGCTAATATGTCCTCTGACAAGCCGGCCTGAGGAACAAACATACAGTTCAATGCCTGTTTGAGAGAAGGACTTGGTCTGACTATTATCACTACTTCTTGTGACTCACAAATGTCTTCAAAAGAGACATGTACGGGTTGCAGAATACTCAAGTAGATATGGTTGCCATAGACTACAAAGAAATGCAAAATGTCAGAACTAGTAGCGGCTTCTTCTTCTACTCGTTCATTAAGACTGATAATTTTCAACAAATTTTCCTTCTTCATTAAGGAAAAATATCGTTTAGATCACAGTAACCCAAATGTTTCTTCCAGCCTTCAAAGGTATTAAATCATGCGTACATCATCCCTGACTTTTTTTTCAAAATGTCAATTTTCCCTGACTCAAAATATAATTCCCTGACTTGAAGAACTGGTTTTCTTCCCTGACCTGTGGCGACCCCGCTAGATAGAGGACTAATGATGTTAGGCTAAGTGTTCCACATGAAAGATAACCAATGCCAAAAGGAGACGGTCGTCAAAAGAAAGTCTCCTGAACATAAGCTGCGCATATGCACGATGGAAAAATTCCCGACTCACCTCAGATTCGTCACCAGTCTCTCTGTAGAGGGTTTGAAGTTCGGCCTCGATAGCCAACAATCTGTTCTTCATTTCTCTCATTTCTTTCTCCTCTCGAAGAATCCTCTCTCCCAGTCCTACAAAAACGCAGCAACCAACAAGCTCGTTTCAAATTCCTTGCAATGAAATTCAGGGTCTGTTCACTCGATTTATGGAATAAAAGCGATATGAAATTAAGGTTACAGTATACCTTCGGGTCGGCAATTTTCTTCAAATTTGGATTTTTGGGTCAAAATAGTGGTCGAAGAATAATCTCTAATTTCTGAAA